ACTGAGATAATGTAACGATCAGCAGTGATCCAGACGTCCTGGTTACCATGCGCCATTAGGTTACCTCTAACCCTCGAACCAGTCAACGCATCTAAACCACCACGACATTCAGCAAAACACAGGACAACGGGAAGAGCAAATTGAAGAAGTGTAATAAACCGCTGTTATACTCGCTCATTTGGAAGGGTATATAGACAACTGCCCGATCGGATCTGAACGTAACACCACTAATATCAACAATTAAATAGCCATTCCTTCTCGACAGCAGATGTCATGAAAACAAACGAACCCTTCTAACTAGAGTGTTCATGAAGAAAAAATTCTAACTCAGGTTTATCCAAATTGGTTCCGTGTCTGTGCTTCAGAATTTCATTCAGTCACGTCTAATCAGCTCCGTTTTTCATCTCTCCTCAATTGCCGGGATACATGCCATATGTGTGGCCATCTGTCTTGGGTCGGTGTGGTGTCGCTTGATGTCTTAAGGACATTGGTGGCACGACGGATGACTGCCGGAGAAAAAAATGAGGTTTAAACATGGCTCTCTGGACTGGGAACTGCTCTTCGAGCACCTGACTCCCTATTGGGATCTCCAGTGTCGTTGCAGTTGTTTCTCATGGTACTGTTCATAGGTCCCACCTTGGTTTCGACGTTTGTCGACGGATTTCTATGTCACTTCCTAAAAGGGGTACAACCCCCCACAAAGAATATGTACTTACTTTCCTATCATAAGGTGAAAAATTTCATGGCTATCAAGGTTATAAACGTCGGTAGGCATTCATTACGATGTTCAAAAATGGTTTTAGCCAGGATAACTCGTTCATCCATGTGAAGATCACCTCTACATAGTCTTTGCGCAATACGATATAACTGTGGGAGTTCATGTGTAATGACACGGAAAATGAAGATAATCCTCCAGACATAGTACCGTGCGAGGTTTGAAACATTGACGCATTCCAGACTGGAGCAGCCAAAATGCCAGTATCATGTCTGAACGGCGGACCATCCGATCACTAATTTGGCGCACTAACCACTGAGCTATCTCGCGCTGTGTAATGACAACGCTCTTGCATCAATAGAGGGCATCTGATGGTTGTACCATGACTTTCGTTGTAGAGGGAAAGACATGGCGGGAACTGAGGTGCATGATTCTAAAATCTGGACTTTGTAGCACGATAGGTCCGGGCAAAATATGACGTGTTAAACTTTTTGCGTCCTCCTCAAGCTAGCGTATCCTATTTAATGTGACGTAAGTCTTTGTTTACGTCAGTTAACCTGAATCCTACTAAAAATCTCTCAATGCACGTTCCGCTAGTACGGAAAATTTCGCTTAAGCCAACTATCATCCTGAAAGTGTAGGGACCAGGTTGGAGCACACGATTCTGGGCATTGTGTGACAAAATGTCAAAAGCGTTCAGATTCATTTCACCACTTCGAAACCGCCAAAGCTTTCTGCTGAGAGGACATTCCCCTGGCATGTTTCGTCCCAGTTTCATTTTGGCCAACCAATACAGGATCGCTGCAAAGAACTGATTCGCATCTCTTTGTTAAGTTGAAATGGTGTACTTGTTGCCCGGTTACAACCAGACACTCCTTCGGTGTGACATGGAACAAGTCAAAATTCGGATCGCTCGCGCGGGCTGATTAAATATATTTTGGCGCCGTGACCGATTGAGTCACAAACAATTCCAACGTGAAACACTGGCTTCACCGTGTCATCATCCCGGCTACCCGTAATTTTGTGCGACAGCATGATATGGCTAATTCCTGGACGAACTGACCAGGTCGTGCCCCAGAACTCTCCCAAATACGCCAAACACCCCGAGATCTCCGAAGGCAACAGACAGGGTGTTGGTCATTTCAGCAAGTTGTGACCATTTCAAATCAGTTCTGATCAGATCAGTTCAGTTCAGTTAAGTTAATCTCAAATCAGTCTCAACCACTACTTCGGCCGTGTGGTTGATTTTCTACGGAATTGAAATTGGGCAGTCACGAAGAATGGTCCTTGTGCTGAACGCTGCTAAGGTGTGTTCTGAAGCACTATTTGGCCAGCATTTCTGGCTAAATTTTCTGGTATGGTAATTCAAGCCGAACCATTTCGTGGAGTTCACACTGTTTCACCCATATGCTACGTAGCTGAAGACTTTCGCGTGTTCTCTGCTAGGGGTGAAGGAGTAAATAAGAGATATGCTGATATTCGCCGACACCTCTCACAAGTAACTTTTTCTGATTTCGGGCCCAGTAACCGCTCAGACTTCAGAATACACCAACGAAATTATTCCCCACTCTTAACGTAGCGGGGAATCATGAATTCTGTTGGTGTACGTTAGGGTGAATCTTGTGCAAACACACTATCCTGTTACTTTGATAGCATCTTTAGACATTGGTCCAAACCTGTGTTGGACATGTATGATCCTGGTTCCGGCGTATGCGTGGCGACCATTTCCTTTGCATGTCTAGACTGGTTTCGTAGCTGGGATTATGTTAGCTCTCTCTTTTCAGGTCCCAGGGGTAGCTGAGCACACAACTCATCTAATGGAGATGTGCAAAGCCGGATACGAGGCCGAAACCCTCATCGAGTCTGTCCACAGCGTCTGCTCCTAACGGACACGCACCAAGTTGTGTGATTCTGCCAAAACAAAATGAATTGCAACTATTCAGTTTCGTGTTTTGCTACCGTTACAGGACATGCGTTGCATTTTCCCATCAAGCTGGCGTTCAAGAAATCATCCGGGACAAACCGGAGAAATTCAGGTAAAATCGTCCGGAATCTCAATACTTGTGGACTCATTAAGACGCTTTCACAATTCTGACGTACTATTGCACGTTAGGTGTACAGGACTGATAATAATAGACCGGTCAATCAATGAAATTGGTACAGTTAGCGGGTCATCTGTCGACTCGAACACACTCTTCAAACTCCAATCTCTACTCTTGTTTCCTCCAACCGGACCAGAGACGCATAGTCAAACTCCGCCCCCTAAACATTTAAAAAGTTATCATACAGCCAGTCACCACTTTCTCCGATGCTCAGTTGAAGTCGTCATGACCTTGCGAGTTTGTCCAACCATCAGAATTGTTATTAGGACGTGAACAAACATTTCTACACTCGACTGAGCTAGAGGCCATTTCGTAACATCCCTTCCTACCCACACATCTACCATCATGACGTCCCTCAGTGGGTGGTTTACCGAAGCCGCTAGACATGTAGTAGTTTGGTTACCTAATAATTTACTTTCCTGGAGTATGTAGCAAAGGAATAATAATAATAATAACACTAGATTTAATAAACAATGTTAAAAATGTCAGATAAAACAGACTGTCTAAAAATAGTGTTTTCTTTAAAATACTCCGTCGTTTGCTCAAGTAACAATAATCCAATCATGATTGTCCAGGGTCCTCTTCTGAACAGTTCCCACACACAATTGATTCCGAGAATAGTCTGACCTGTTTTAATAACAGAGTTAGCACGCGAGGCTCGCGAATGACCGCTGCAAACGCAAACGAGATCAGAACAGACAGTCAGAGCACTTGACCACGTTTGTTTTGCGTGAATTCATTAAAGTGCACGTTTTTCTAGTTATTTCATTGTATTCAAACAAAAGACGGTCGTGCTAGTGACAAAATAACTAATGTTATAATGAAAGCAAAATGAAGGTACAGAACACCACAAGCTTCATCCGAAATTGCTTATAGTCTTCGCAAATATCCGTAGACCCGTTATCCAAATCCAACGAATGAATGTGGAGTTTTGTTGGAGCGAGTCCTGTAACCAAACAAGACGACGTCCATAATCACAAAACTTCGTGATTCACGTCATCATCAATTTTCATCAAGTCACTGACTTTGCCCACCCGTTTAACCGTCGAACCACTGTATAATGTATGGGGCAGGAGATCACGGATGACGTCGGATGGTGTGACGTGGATTAATATGCTCGCGCCACCTATGGACAATCTGATGCACGACAAAAACATGAGAATCAGCCAACAATGTAAAATGTTGTTTAATGAGTGGTAAGCGATAACACGATCATGACTCCAGGTCAGGCATAACTATCCGTCATAATGGTCTGGTTTGAAATTAAATGGCGAAAATGAATATTCAGCGCACAAAAGTGTCATAAGTACGCAGACACCCCTTATCGACGAGCAAAAAAATTCAACGACTGTGACATTCGAAAGTCTCAGTTCAATAACAACCTTGGCGCATTGAGGAAAGCAGATACGTCGGTACAAGATGATCATCGGTTGGTGGGCAGAAAAGGTGACATCACAACCGATTGCACGTAGGGCTGAGATTATTGCAAAGAAATATTCATCAGCACAGTACTTTTCCTTCTCCTCATACCACGCGGTTACTCCGCGCTCATACGATACTATGCCGACGCCCATTACAATTGCTTGGCGATCCCGAACAGCAAAAATATCAGTCTTGAAGAAATACGTCGAAGTAGGTGCTCTCAACTCCTCGACGAATGTGTATCCCAGTCGACAGGGACACTTTTAGAGTTCCATTTCAATTATGACGAGCACACCTGGCATCATGCGTAATCCAGCAGGATTGCAAAATATGCACCAAACTCTCCGGTTGGCCACAGTTTCCACGACATAAGATCGTCTGGCCACCATGACCATGCCGAGCGCTTCTAACTCTCGTCCTAAGCAGGTTGCATCGGAGCTGGATACCCCGGATAAATATCCGTGGAAACACTCGTTCTGGGAATACGAGCCATCGATTCGACAGAGGCGAAGTGACCAACTCTCGTAAACCGCGACCGTCATTGCTGTTGTGCAGACTTTCACCCCAAGCAGCCACCAGTTGTTCCTCGGTGTATAAGCATGCACCATGGACTCAGATCGGAGGACTGAGGTCGCGAACAATGTTGCTAAATGTGAAATCGTTGGCCACATTGCGTAGTACTCGGCACTGAGTAGAAAGGATCATTTTCCACACCCGTTCTTCGCTGCACCCGACTTGGGATACCAAGTCCCCATGTGTTTAACGGCATGTGTGTGGCTCATCTGGGTATCCTTCGGTAGACATTGCCAACCATGAATATATTGCTTGATGTAGCTGTCCAATATTTATATTTTGAGCTTGATTCGGTGAATCTGGCCAAGCACGTGCAAATGTGTCAGCCTCGATATAAGATAGTTCCTCGTGATCTCCATTCTTCGATGCAATGACAACGGAACACGCGTCACCTAGTCGAGCAGTTTGAGCAGGTGCGCCCATACGTGAATGTTATCGTGGATGATCGCCTTGACCAACACCTATGTGGTAGTAACCTCGGAAATGTGGAAAACTGATACAGCATTCTCATATGACGCTTTGATATACCAAATTCGATTTGACGGTGCTTCAAACGCCCCGGCAGATCTGACGAGTTTATGGTGCGAAACAGATTCAAATGATTCCGGGATATCAACAAACGTGGAACCGAGGTTGGAAGCAGTTGTTGAAGACTGACAAAGCGGGGCATGCAACAGCAATGTGACTTCCAAACAGCCGTCTTAATGCAAAAATGCAAATTTGATGTGAGGGCAGTCGCAATCTACGACCCCAGCGATCAGCTAGCACCCTATGAAAGCAACGAACAAGAATGGCTGAAACGGAGATCAATCTAAGTTGATCCGGTGAGGTCGTCTTTGGGACCTTCGGAAATAGAGCAATACGGGCGCGACACAGATGTGGGGGAGAACCCCTATAAAATAACCCCAATTTGAAATAACCATCGAGCACGTTAGCATTGAACAGGAGGAGCATCCTGGGTGTGGGATTGTCCAGTCCAGGGGACGAATTGTCCGTCAAATGGATTCTACGGTTGACTTCCACTCTGGTAACTGGCTCGACCAGCTCCAGTCGAATGATGCAACTATAAGATTTGGCCGGCTGTTCATATGTTTCGTAGCTGAGAGCTCATGTTTCCACAAGTGCTCGGCGTCCACAGGTGGGTCGCAGTTACCCGTGTAAAAATAATTCCATGACCCGTCGCACAGAGCAGACGCTGCATCTTTCCGTGTTTTGTGGCATAAGGTCTAGTTGGCTCGGCGAATTCGCTTTCTGTCGACCGGGATCCGATGTGCAACTTGACGGAGGCGTCGAGCTACAGTTTTTAAATTATGTGGAATTGTTCTGAAGGCGTGGAAATCCAGAATCCACAAGCGTTGTTCCGCTGGCGGCAGACGGCAACCCTTGTGCAAATGTCAGAAGGTCAGCATTAGAGATGGAACTGTCAGCATGGGATTCTACGAGTGACACGGCACAACCGACAGTTTGTTTAAACCGGACGCCATAGTGAAAGGATTTATATGATAGTTTGGTCAGGCCCCGAGATGATGATTTGTCCTTTTGTGCTTGCCAGTTAATCACCGTAATCTGGTTTTGACGCTGATAGCCGATCGACAAAGGAAATACCGCCCCGTTCTCATGAACAGCGCGGTTTTCATGCAACGAGACGAACATAAATTGTCAGTGCAGGAGAGACTCTTGGTGTTCTTGTTTTGAGTCTTTATCCAGGTCGCCTGAATAAATACTTGGAGGTATAGGCACCTGAGAATAATTGAAATGAGCTTGACCTAGGGACCTTTACCGTCCACCTTTATTCTTTCTTTCACACTAAGTCTTTCAAAAAATCGTGGTTGTGCTGCAGCGATGCATTACCGCCCAACATTGAAGTCTTTCTGCCGCGCGTGAAGATGATTGTGACGACGACGATGATGACGATGATCATAAACTCTGACGATGAAGCTCATTTGGCTGTGTCGTGGCGAGCGTGCTATATCAAGTTTGAATAGGGATTGGAAGTTTGATGAATGCGAAATACTGGCTAACGTGCTGGTCATAAACACGACTAGTGAGTATGAGAGAAGCGTGTAGTCAGTCATACATCAGTAATTCATAGAATTGGGTTCGAGAATATCCGGGGTGATGCTGGTGCTGATGCCTCTGCTGATGATGATGATGGGATATGCCTGAGTGAGATAATTTCCCCAACACTGATTGACTAAGGGCTCGGAAAATCCAATATGACGTCACTTGGAATGTTGCATCTATATACAGCTATACCGGATTTAGAGGTAGAACCATGAGCAGCGAACAATTTTCAAAATTCATAAGTCGTCCTTTACTGTTCAAAACAGACCATGTTTGTAGAGTACAACAAAGTCCAACATTCTACGGTGAGAACCATATTTTGCTGACTTAGCATCACCAATTGAGCTCAGTAAGTGTCTTTGGATTTGGATAACGGGTCTACGGATATTTGGGAAGACCCTAAGCAATTTCGGAAGAAGCCTGTGGTGTTCTGTACCTTCATTTTGCTTTCATTATAACATTACTTATTTTGTCGGTAGCCTCTCACTCAGTGGAGTGTAGAAATGAATGTTCAAGTCCTAATAACAATTCTGATGGTTGGTCAAACACGCATTTTCATGGCGACTTCAACTGAGCATCATAGAAAATGGTTACTGGCTGTGTGATAACTGTTTAAATGTTTAAATTGCCAAGTTTGACTATGCGTCTCTGGTCCGTTTAGAGGAAACAAGAGAAAAGATTGGGTTTGGAGAGTATGTTGGAGTCGACAGATGACCCGCTAACTG